ACCCTTATTGGTACCTAGTGTTTCCTTCTGCTTCTGTTGTGGTTAAGGATCTGTTACTGTAACACCTAATGATCAGTATTCAATGTGTTGTGAACAGATATTCAGGATGTGTACTGTGATATATTGAGAGATGGAGAGTTTGCATGTGATTGACACATTTGCACATGCAGATGCTATTTTCTATATACTAATGTAAATATTACATCATTGTTATTTGTCGCCATTTTAAAGTAACAGGGCAAATAACAACACCAGAGAGAAAAAAATCTTTGATGTTTAATTAGTTTTGTCAATTTGATGGTAAATAGCATTTGTCGATGATTCTGTGAAATGATAATATAAGCTATTGCGATATATGTCATTTGGAAAGCATATTGCTGTATTCGGTTATACAGGTAGTATTGTGCTGTCATAGTAGATATAGTTTTATAGTTTACCTCATGCTTAATGAAGTCACACATGGCAATCAATAAATGTTTATATTGACTGCACATTCAATGCACACAAAAATAGAATAAAATGAAAAGGAAGAAAAGGCAAAGGTTTAGCAGTAGTAGAAACTGTAGACATTATTACATTAGTTTGAGTTTTGGCAGTGAAACAATTCCAACAGCTGTTGGGACAAAGTCAGAGTTGAAACATAGACAATATATATATACATGTATATTCTAGGCGTCCCACTTTGACTAGGCGTCTGACTTTGTGTGCTGGCGATAAGGTGTCTGACTCTGAGGCTGTGGGTTCGAATCCCGGATGGGACTCAACCCCAAAAAAGTACTAGAATCTGTACTTTACTGAGATATTATGTAATCCCAAATATAACATATGTTACATTTGACCACTTTCTAAAATGGCATTGTGTATTTCATGTTTATTCTAAAGAGTAAACAAGGCACTTGTAAGTTGATAAAAATTGCCTATGCCAAATTATGTTGAAAAATGGTTTTCAAGGTATGGCACGGAATGGATGTGAAGACCAATGAAAGGGAACCAAGCCCAACACTACATGTCTGCCTTTTTCCTTTGTACATTGAAATGCACAATTCTCATGTGTCCATATAGAGCGGGAAGACTATGTATACCGCCATGTGTACATTCTGTAATGCTTTGATTACAAATCTATTGATATTCATGCATGACATTATGTCAGATAAATACTCGGCATCATTTCAGAATTTAAATAAAGATATTTTTATACATTTTAAAGCCTGTTTGTGTAGTTTGTAAAAATAACAGTTGCTAAGAAACAAGTAAAGTGTGTTTACTACATGCCATAACGAAAGGAAGAAGATCTTAGCTCCGGCTCTGAGTTGTATATTTTTGTTTGCTTGTTTGTTGTTTAACGCCGAAGTCAACAATATTTCAACTATATGGCGGTAGTCTGTAAATAATGGGAGTCCAGATCAGACAATGCAGTGATCAACAGCATGAGTATCAATCTATGCAATTGGTATGTGATGACATGTGTCAACCAAGTCAGTCAACCATGTCAGTGAGCCTGAGAGTGAGGTGAGTGAGGTGAAAGATGAAATTGGGTTTAACGTCGTGCTTGAGAATATTTCGCTCATATGACGACGTGCATGCGTGTGTGTGTGTATGTGCGGCTGCTTGTACTAGCCCAGACTGAAGCTGGTTTTATAGTACTAGCCCACTGAGATACCATGCTGCAGTGAAGCATGAATACCACACTCAGACACATTATACTGACTCCGAGCCGACCAGTGCTTGTTGTACCTATTAATGCCGACCGCCAGGCAGAGACCAACAAGTACCATATTTTAACGTCTTTTGGTATGACGCGGTCAGGGATCGAACCGGCGACCTTCTGCTCTCCGGGTGGACGCTCTAACCACTACACCACAGAGGCGGTCGAGTGAGTGAGTGAGTGAGTGGGGATGGGTATGTGGGTTTGTTGGTGAGTGAGTAAATTGAAACACATGACGCCTTGTAGACGAATACAAATTTCAACCTCATATTTTGTTATTATTCTAGATTATGCATATCACATCAGTTGATTTTGTTTGAGGGAAAACTTGCTTTACTATTTAAATGCAATGTGCAATGACCCTCTGCCTTCTAATGAACGCTGGCAATATACATAAGCCTACCTATATTAATAGTCCATAGATTGCATTATACACTGGACTGACACCCTAAACGATGCACAAAGGCAGCCAAAACACCCCATACTTTCCCCATGGATCAGGGTGTAATAAATTTATCATCCTCGGCAAGGTATATAACCAGAGCTGCCCATCAGGTTAACAGTCACATGACCATCTCATCCTACCGGGTACCCATTCACTGCTGGGTGAACAGAGACATTTTGATCCAAGTCCCTTGCCAAAGGGAACAACACATGTGCCATATGTGCTCCAGTGTGGGGCAGGACCGATTCCATAGAAAGTCTTAGGAGCTAAGCTTCCATGCACACCTGTGGACAAGCTCTGATATCAATGACCTTTACAGAGTTTGTACGAGAACAACCACTGGTGGATATTGTCAAATCCTGAGAAAACCTTACAACTGTGCCATTTTCTATCACATGTCGATAAGAGTGATCATGGTGAAACCATCTGATTACACGTGGAAAGGATCTTGTAACCATGGTAACTACCACTGGCATCATCTTAGATGGTATCTCAAAAAGCATCTCTGGTCCTGACTTACGCCTAAATGCTAGTTACATATCAGGTATTGACAATTGCCATACATCAATACATTGATCAATACTTTAACTTAAGTTATAACCAATTATCAGTAGTTATAACCAATTATCTGAAGTCATAACAATGCAATTGTTAAAATTGACCCTTTGGATTTATCTCCACCAGCATCATATTCAACGAGTGAGTGAGTGAGTGAGTGAGTGAGTGAGTGAGTGAGTGAGTGAGTGAGTGAGTGAGTGAGTGAGTGAGTGAGTTTAGTTTTACGCCACACTCAGCAATATTCCAGCTATATGGCAGCGGTCTGTAAATAATCGAGTCTGGACCAGACAATCCAGTGATCAACAGCACGAGCATCGATCTACACAACTGGGAACCGATGACATGTGTCAACCAAGTCAGTGAGCCTGACCACCCGATCCCGTTAGTCGCCTCTTACGACAAGCATAGTCGCCTTTTGTGGCAAGCATGGGTTGCTGCAGACCTATTCTACCCCGGATCTTCACGGGTCTGATATTCAACGACATATATTTTAAAACTGGAATTCAAACTTTCCCAATTCATGTTGAAATAACCTTGTTTTTTCATTAAAGTCTGTCCACTTTCAGGATAATGTGCACCATGACTATAACAAATAGATATTTTATGTCTTTGCAGAAATACTTGCATTTCACTGATAACAGAATAACCGCACACGGGTTGTATTTCCCAGTTACATAACGCATACAATGCAATCTCAAAATACAATGTTGAAATAGCTACACATGTAGGAAATAGAGCTTTGAAAAGTCCCTATTTAGAACATAATAATAGTTATTTCTGAATATTCCTGCCAGGCTCCCTTAGTTTACAATTCTCGTTAATAAATGTCATGACATGCATGGCCGAGGGCAAGGAAACAATTCCAAATTAGGCACATTATCAATCACGTGTTACTTGCCTGTGGTCATGTCCCTATTATGAGAAAAATAGCCCTGATAAACAGTGTTCATGAATAGTGTCTGACCCTCTGACAAATCTGGCAGATTCCGCTACGGTCCGATAGAACTGTACAACCCGCCGGCCCCAGTGTCTGACTGTATGTTTCATAATGACTTTGACTGAAGTTGTTATATGTCACATGTGACACATGTTTGCTGTTTATAAATCTTAATGTTTGTTAGTACTTTTAAATGCCAATTATAAGAAATTTTAAATCTGAAATGTGTGTTTAATTTTATTCTATGGGTCCTGTGAATTTTCAATGGGTCAGAACAGACATCTGAAACTTACAGGACCCAATGTCCTGTTACTTTGAAACACCATTTGTGAACACTGGATAAAGAATGATGAAAATGTTCCAGGTCATATGGATGTTGAGTGTAAGGTTGGTTGCCACAGTCAGCAATATTCCAGCTATATGGCGGCAATCTGTAAATAATCGAGTCTGAACCAGACAATCCAGTCATCAACAGCATGAGCATCAATCTACGCAAATGGGATATGATGACATGTGTCAACAAAGTCAGCGAGTCTGACCACCCGATCCTGTTAGTCTCCTCTTATGCCAAGCATAGGTTGCTGAGGACCAATTCTCACCTGGATCTGACAGTATGATGGAAACCCCAGATAAAAGTTTCAGACATATACTACTTTCCTGAACCCTGCAACCATGACTACGGTGCTGACAAATCTAGAAACAATTGGAGGGATCTGGAACTGAAACCAAGTATACAGGGTTCTGGTGTGCCCAAGGGACGTAACTCCACACAGCACATGTTAAACATACTGAGAAAATAGGAACTAAATTAATCCCATCCAGATTCTGATTTAGCTCAAGGTGGTTCAAATGACATCATTCTGCACATGCTCAGACAGCACTTGCCATGTCAGGGGTGGAAATAACTTTAAAATTGCTAGTGTACTCCGGAACAGTAGCACATGTAAAATCACTTGCCCTGATAATTTTATCCACTATACCGGCCATTTTCTTGTTGATTTTTTACAATAAACAACATAATTAACATTGGAAAGTCAACTGGACACCGGTACAGTGTGATATACAAATTTGCTTGCCCGACAGAAAAAAAACACTGGACTCGGACGTCGGGCAATGGGTTATTTCCACCCTACGTGTCAAACTTCCGTGTACTCCACGAAACAATTACTGTTTAATCTGTCCGCTCCTGCTATCTGTTCAGACTTATAATGTCTTTATTCAAGTCAGCAATGTTTCAACTGTATCACAACTTAACCAGTCGGAACCAGTCTGGCCCAGACAAACCAGGGATCAATACCGTCAGGAACGATCCATGTCACACAGGGGGAACAAAGGAGGAATAAAAGGTTTCTTACCTTTAGTAGATTTCACTTGGTTTGCATATCGGGAATTGCTGCAAAGAGAAAAGATACTAATTATCTTCCAAACAAACCATTTTTTCATTTGGTCTTGTGCAACAAAACCATCAATGAATTATGCTCATCTAAACGTCCTATTTTCTAAACACTACAGACTCACAAGCCAGCTTGCACCACTTTTTCAAATGGATCCCTATTTCTTCTCTGATGGGCATTTTAGAAGTTGCGTTGATAAAGAATAATGACAATTATTATGGATATACAACTTGTTTTATTCTGTGGAGGCGATGTTTCGACATAGGTTCTAATGTCAGCTTCCCCTTTGTCAACCAGACCATCAACAACACCCTCGACCTAACAACCAAGTCCCCCTCGACAACAAACAGCCCCCTTCACCATCAGTCTCCCATACATAGGATCAACTAGTCATCACATCCATCGACTCTTGAAGCACTAAGCTGACAGACGTCACCTTCCAAAAAGGCAACAGCATCCAGAAACTCTTGCAGGCCACAGGAAGACCTGGGTCATCCCAGAAGCTAGGCCCCTATGTCGGAGAAACATCAAGATCACTAACCCCCAGGATCAAGGAACACCAGGCTTCATTTAGGAAAAATGATTCTAAATCAGCCATTGCCGACCACGTCAAAGCTCATCTTAACCACACCATCAACTGGGACAAGACCAAAAGCATAGTGAAGAACCAGTCAGACTACAAAATTCGTAAACTTTTGGAAGCAGTGCACATCAAGAAGATAGGACCCGCCCTCAACAGAGATAAAGGATACTACATTCACAATGCCTACCATCACTTGATAAAGTAATCAATAATATTTCTTGTGTACATTACCTGTTTCATTCCAACTATGTACATCAACCCCATCCATTGTATAAACATCCACCTGGCTTCCTATCAGTTGTATAAGCTCTAATGCAGTCCATGTATGTCACCCTGCTGGCTTCCTATCAATTTACTCAATCTCTCATACAAACCTTGTACATCAACCTCATCTATTGTATAAACAACTCATTCTCTATCTACTGTAACAATTCATGTATATATTCTCTCAATTTGTTACTCATGTATGTCGAAACGTCACCTCCACAGAATCAAACAAGATGTATATCCATAATAATTGTCATTATTCTTCTGGATCCCTATTCATGGTAAAAGGTATCTTTGACAAAAATGCAGCTCTAAGCTTTTGTTTAACATGGATATTTCTTAGCATGGAGGCCAATGAAAGATGGTAAAAAAGATGGTTCACCATCCTTGCATGCTTACAACCTGGAAACATAATAATAATCTTAGATATCTGTGGCAACAGCATCACTCCTGACTCTCATATGGAGTAATACTGAAAGCCTTGGCAACAGAAACAAAACTTGCATCTAGAAGTTTTTAATTAAAGTCTGTTCAATTTTCAGGGTATGGTGTGCCATGTTTAAAACAATAAAGTAAGGGACCGTTCATAATTTATGACTGTGTGTGTGTGTGTGTGTGTGTGTGTTTGATGATGATTTTAAGGGGGGTCACCCATTCTGTTCGGAGGAGCAATTTTGTAAACACATACTGGGGGGTTAGCAATTTTGTACATAAAAATGTTTAAAATTGATTTTGTACATGACATACAAGGGGGGACACTTATTTTGTACATAAATTTTAGTGGGGAGGGTGTCATTCACATTGTACATGCTTCATCCCATTGGGGTCACCAACCATGACAATCCAGTGCAACATCCCATTGAGGTCACCAACCATGACAACCCAGTGCAACATGCCATTGGGGTCGCCAACCATGACAACCTGGTGCAACATCCCATTAGGGTCACCAACCATGACAACCTGGTGCAACATCCCATTGGGGTCACCAGCCATGACAACCTGGTGCAACATCCCATTGGGGTCACCAACCATGACAACCTGGTGCAACATCCCATTGAGGTCACCAACCATGACAACCCAGTGCAACATTCCATTGGGGTCACCAACCATGACAACCTGGTGCAACATCCCATTGGGGTCACCAACCATGACAACCTGGTGCAACATCCCATTGGAGCCACCAACCATGACAACCTGGTGCAACATCCCATTGAGGTCACCAACCATGACAACCCAGTGCAACATCCCATTGGAGCCACCAACCATGACAACCCAGTACAACATCCCATTGGAGCCACCAACCATGACAACCCAGTGCAACATCCCATTGGAGCCACCAACCATGACAACCCAGAGCAACATCCCATTGGAGCCACCAACCATGACAACCTGGTGCAACATCCCATTGAGGTCACCAACCATGACAACCCAGTGCAACATCCCATTGGGGTCACCAACCATGACAACCCAGTGCAACATCCCATTGAGGTCACCAACCATGACAACCCAGTACAACATCCCATTGAGGTCACCAACCATGACAACCTGGTGCAACATCCCATTGAGGTCACCAACCATGACAACCTGGTGCAACATCCCATTGGGGTCACCAACCATGACAACCTGGTGCAACATCCCATTGAGGTCACCAACCATGACAACCTGGTGCAACATCCCATTGGGGTCACCAACCATGACAACCTGGTGCAACATCCCATTGAGGTCACCAACCATGACAACCTGGTGCAACATCCCATTGGAGTCACCAACCATGACAACCTGGTGCAACATCCCATTGAGGTCACCAACCATGACAACCTGGTGCAACATCCCATTGAGGTCACCAACCATGACAACCCACTACAACATCCCATTGAGGTCACCAACCATGACGACCTGGTGCAACATCCCATTGGAGCCACCAACCATGACAACCTGGTGCAACATCCCATTGGGGTCACCAACCATGACAACCCACTACAACATCCCATTGAGGTCACCAACCATGACAACCTGGTGCAACATCCCATTGGAGCCACCAACCATGACAACCTGGTGCAACATTCCATTGAGGTCACCAACCATGACAACCCACTACAACATCCCATTGAGGTCACCAACCATGACAACCCACTACAACATCCCATTGAGGTCACCAACCATGACAACCTGGTGCAACATCCCATTGGAGCCAGCAACCATGACAACCTGGTGCAACATCCCATTGGGGTCACCAACCATGACAACCCACTACAACATCCCATTGAGGTCACCAACCATGACAACCTGGTGCAACATCCCATTGGAGCCACCAACCATGACGACCCAGTGCAACATCCCATTGAGGTCACCAACCATGACAACCCAGTGCAACATCCCATTGAGGTCACCAACCATGACAACCCAGTGCAACATCCCATTGAGGTCACCAACCATGACGACCTGGTGCAACATCCCATTGGAGCCACCAACCATGACAACCTGGTGCAACATCCCATTGGGGTCACCAACCATGACAACCCACTACAACATCCCATTGAGGTCACCAACCATGACAACCTGGTGCAACATCCCATTGGAGCCACCAACCATGACGACCCAGTGCAACATCCCATTGAGGTCACCAACCATGACAACCTGGTGCAACATCCCATTGAGGTCACCAACCATGACAACCTGGTGCAACATCCCATTGAGGTCACCAACCATGACGACCCAGTGCAACATCCCATTGAGGTCACCAACCCTGACAACCAAGTGCAACATCCCATTGAGGTCACCAACCATGACAACCCAGTACAACATCCCATTGAGGTCACCAACCATGACAACCTGGTGCAACATCCCATTGAGGTCACCAACCATGACAACCTGGTGCAACATCCCATTGAGGTCACCAACCATGGCTGACCTGGTGCAACATCCCATTGAGGTCACCAACCATGACAACCTGGTGCAACATCCGGTGAGGTCATAACCATGACGACCTGGTGCAACATCCCATTGAGGTCACCAACCATGACAACCCACTACAACATCCCATTGAGGTCACCAACCATGACAACCTGGTGCAACATCCCATTGAGGTCACCAACCATGACAACCTGGTGCAACATCCCATTGAGGTCACCAACCATGACAACCTGGTGCAACATCCCATTGAGGTCACCAACCGGACAACCTGGTGCAACATCCCATTGGGGTCACCAACCATGACAACCTGGTGCAACATCCCATTGGGGTCACCAACCATGACAACCTGGTGCAACATCCATTGAGGTCACCAACCATGACAACCTGGTGCAACATCCCATTGGAGTCACCAACCATGACAACCTGGTGCAACATCCCATTGAGGTCACCAACCATGACAACCTGGTGCATATTGATCCCATTGAGGTCACCAACTTCATGGCGTTACTCCACTACAACATCCCATTGGGGTAAACCAACCATGACGACCTGGTGCAACATCCCATTGGAGCCACCAACCATGACAACCCTGGTGCAACATCCCATTGGGGTCACCAACCATGACAACCCACTACAACATCCCATTGGAGGTCACCAACCATGACAACCTGGTGCAACATCCCATTGGAGCCACCAACCATGACAACCTGGTGCAACATTCCATTGAGGTCACCAACCATGACAACCCACTACAACATCCCATTGAGGTCACCAACCATGACAACCCACTACAACATCCCATTGAGGTCACCAACCATGACAACCTGGTGCAACATCCCATTGGAGCCAGCAACCATGACAACCTGGTGCAACATCCCATTGGGGTCACCAACCATGACAACCCACTACAACATCCCATTGAGGTCACCAACCATGACAACCTGGTGCAACATCCCATTGGAGCCACCAACCATGACGACCCAGTGCAACATCCCATTGAGGTCACCAACCATGACAACCCAGTGCAACATCCCATTGAGGTCACCAACCATGACAACCCAGTGCAACATCCCATTGAGGTCACCAACCATGACGACCTGGTGCAACGCATCCCATTGGAGCCACCAACCATGACAACCTGGTGCAACATCCCATTGGGGTCACCAACCATGACAACCCACTACAACATCCCATTGAGGTCACCAACCATGACCACCTGGTGCAACAACATCCCATTGGAGCCACCAACCATGACTGCACCCAGTGCAACATCCCATTGGAGGTCACCAACCATGACAACCTGGTGCAACATCCCATTGAGGTCACCAACCATGACAACCTGGTGCAACATCCCATTGAGGTCACCAACCATGACGACCCAGTGCAACATCCCATTGAGGTCACCAACCCTGACAACCCAGTGCAACATCCCATTGAGGTCACCAACCATGACAACCCAGTGCAACATCCCATTGAGGTCACCAACCATGACAACCTGGTGCAACATCCCATTGAGGTCACCAACCATGACAACCTGGTGCAACATCCCATTGAGGTCACCAACCATGACGACCTGGTGCAACATCCCATTGAGGTCACCAACCATGACAACCTGGTGCAACATCCCATTGAGGTCACCAACCATGACGACCTGGTGCAACATCCCATTGAGGTCACCAACCATGACAACCCACTACAACATCCCATTGAGGTCATCAACCATGACAACCTGGTGCAACATCCCATTGAGGTCACCAACCATGACGACCCAGTGCAACATCCCATTGAGGTCACCAACCATGACAACCTGGTGCAACATCCCATTGAGGTCACCAACCATGACAACCTGGTGCAACATCCCATTGAGGTCACCAACCATGACAGCCTGGTGCAACATCCCATTGAGGTCACCAACCATGACAACCTGGTGCAACATCCCATTGAGGTCACCAACCATGACGACCCAGTGCAACATCCCATTGAGGTCACCAACCATGACAACCTGGTGCAACATCCCATTGAGGTCACCAACCATGACAACCTGGTGCAACATCCCATTGAGGTCACCAACCATGACAACCTGGTGCAACATCCCATTGAGGTCACCAACCATGGCGCTGACTCCAGTGCAACATCCCATTGAGGTCACCAACCATGACAACCTGGTGCAACATCCCATTGAGGTCACCAACCATGACGAACCCAGTGCAACATCCCATTGAGGTCACCAACCATGACAACCTGGTGCAACATCCCATTGAGGTCACCAACCATGACAACCCACTACAACATCCCATTGAGGTCACCAACCATGACAACCTGGTGCAACATCCCATTGAGGTCACCAACCATGACAACCTGGTGCAACATCCCATTGAGGTCACCAACCATGACAACCTGGTGCAACATCCCATTGAGGTCACCAACCATGACAACCTGGTGCAACATCCCATTGAGGTCACCAACCATGACGACCCAGTGCAACATCCCATTGAGGTCACCAACCATGACGACCCAGTGCAACATCCCATTGAGGTCACCAACCATGACGGCCCAGTGCAACATCCCATTGAGGTCACCAACCATGACAACCCAGTGCAACATCCCATTGGAGCCACCAACCATGACAACCCACTACAACATCCCATTGGGGTCACCAACCATGACAACCCAGTGTAACATCCCATTGGAGCCACCAACCATGACAACCCACTACAACATCCCATTGGGGTCACCAACCATGACAACCCAGTCCAACACCCAGTCATTCTAGGACCAGTACTGCACCTATATTTCACCGTGATATACTCCAGCCAACAGACACAGGAGACTGTTTACCTGGATTCAAGGGACTGTATCTTCTTCTCCCTCTGTTTCTTGTCCTCCTCGTTAGACAGAATATCGTTAGATGCAATCAGAGCCTCGAACTGCCTCCTCATCATCTGTAGACAGGAGTGAGTGAGTGAGTGAATGAGTTTGTCAATGAATGAGTGACTGGGTGTGTGAACGAACAAATGAGTATAAGTCACAGAGACGATGTCCAAAAATAAACTAAATAACAGTCTCCATTCTACAATGAAAAAACAATACACAGTCTCTTTGGTTATAGTATAGATGCTTAGAGATGTGGTAACAGTATGGATTTAATAAGCTCTTCATTTTGTCACCTATTCAACATGTTCAAGCTGTTTTGTCAAGGCGATGATGGTCAGGTTTTTTTTGTTATTATTTCTTTGTCTTAGAGGGGGAGTCAATCGATTGTCAAACACATTCTGAGGTCAAATTATTCAGTTTTTAGCCTTTTCTCTTACAAAATACTGTTACAAATTGTTGGTCTCAGGGGACATAACTGCACAGCAACCACAAACCCAAGTTCCCCCTGTACTTCTAGAAAACTTAATTCTCAAAGGGGTCATACTTCTGCTCCTTCCAGACTGTTCTTCAGGTTGATGATCTCTCTGTCCTTGACCTTCAGCTTGGCCTCAAGGTCAACACGGGTCTGTTTAAGTGGCTCTGTGCTCTGCAGCGACGACTTCAACTGCGTCTCCAGCATCTCACAGTCTCTGCAGAAACAACATCCACAACACATCAGACAGCATACAAGTCTCTCTGAAGGCAATATTTTGAAAATATTCACCTGTAATTACATTTTCCATTCCTGGTATTTGCATCTCATTTCAGTGGTTGATAGAGTGTGTTAAGATCCATGATGTCACAGGTGAACAGTTCAGCCACTGAGGCCATCAATTCACTGATTCAGTCTTTGAAGGCTAGCTCTGTACCTAGGTTCCATTGCATGCACAGTGAGGATTTGCTGGTGCTCAAATTTGTTATTTCAGCAATACCGGTGATTACCGATAACATGAGCATTGATGGAAGAAAAATCTTCAATAACATGTATGATTGTATCAATCAAGTCTGCAAGCATAACAACCACATCCCACTGGTTGCATCTTACATGAAGCAGAAGTTGCTGACGACCAATTCTAACAAGGATCTTCGGAAGATGTGCTTAGACATATTTAGAAAAATACTACTTTCCTACTCACAACTGAGATCGATCCAGCTTCCTTGATAAGTCTTCCAGTCGCTTGTTCTGGACATCATATTGTGGGATGGTTAAAGAAAAAATCATAGAACATTAATGATGCCACATACCAAACTTAAACTTTACATAAGGTGAGAAACCCAGAACCATACACGTATAAAAATTGAAAATGGACACACGCAAAATACAGAGTGCATCCACTAGGACACAGAGAACGCATATTCATGTTCAGGAGTAAATGCTGTCATCTTACACTTTGGGATGCATGTTATCAGTGTTTACGCTGATTTAATTATTTATCGGACACTGTGTCTGGCGACCTACAATTTTACCGGACATGAATGAAATTTGCTGGTCATATCCTATTACCATACTGTAAGTACTCTTTTCAAAGCTATTTTTAGCCTGAGTATTTCCACAACATAACAATTTTTGCGACCATGATAGCACAGCCAAGACTGTCATTTCACTTACCCATGATTTTAAAAATTTAAATACATGATTATTTACCGGACACAGTGTCCGGCTGGCTTTCAATTTAACGGTCCCTAACAAATTTTTCCGGCGATTTTCAGGTATATACCGGAAACGGAAACACTGATGTTATGTCTCAGAGTGAGGGGACCGTGTGGTGGTGAGAGTGTCCGCCTCGAGAGCAGAAGGTTGCAGGTTCAATCCACGGCCGCATCATACCAAAAGGCGTTAAAATATGGTACTTGTTGGTCCTTGCCTGGTGCTCAGCATTATTGGGTACAACAAGGACTGGTCGGCTCGGATATGTCAGTATAATGAGTCTGAGTGGGGTATTCATGCTTCACTGCGGTATGGTATCTCAGTGAGCTGGCACTATAAAACCTGCTTAAGTCTGGGCTAGTACAAGCAGCCACGCATACACATACATGCACGTCATCATATGAGTGAAATAATGTTAAGTATGACGTTAATCGGCATGGTTTCCTTGGCCAAAAGGTATGAATACCAGATGTCTTTTAACATGGTTAAATGAAACTGAATCTGTGAGGGACTCAATAAAGTGTCAGGGTGTCTGACAAATCACTTGAATGCATAATGAGGACTTTACAGTGAAAAGGACTTTAAAAAGTCTCAATGACTAGGAGTGAGTGAGTTTAGTTTTACGCTGCTTTTAGTTCAGGGATGAGAATGAAGTTTTGAGAAAAACTCTGAAAACTAGCCGGGGGTTTAGCATCTATCAGATTTAGACGACCCTTGGCCTTATGAAATTCCCGGAATTCCGAGGATCCGTGGAAAATTCTCATCCCTGTTAGTAATATTCCTGCAATATCACAGTGGGGGACACCAGACATTGGCCTCACATATTGTACCTAAGTGGGGAATCAAACTCAAGTCTTCGGGGTGATGAGCGGACGCTTTAACCACAAGGCAACTTCACCGCCCCTCAATGAATAGGAAGGATTACTTGTGTGTTTGTTTGTTTGTTGTGTCTGTCTGTAATACCAATCTGGACCAAACTATCCAGTGATCACTACTGTGACCAGCAATTCATGCTCTCGGGGTACAATATAATATAATATATAATACAATATAATACAATATAATACAATCAACCAAGTCATAAACTCTGAGTACTCATTTGGCCATCTGATCTATTTAGCTTCATCTTATGACCAGCATATTCTAACCTAGCATCCATAGTACAGGTGTCCTCCCATTACGCAGACAGCCAGTTCGCAGACACCTTAAAACAACAACATTTACGGTTCAGTGAACAGATTATCTACTACCTGTTACCTACACATTATAATGGAATAGTCCAAGTAAAAACACAGGTACAAACTGAAGCTATATTATTTATTTTGAAAGATGGACGAAAAGAATTTGAATTTTTATTGCTGCTATATATAAAAAGTGTATTGTCATAAACATTTCGGTTTAACCTTCTAGTCTAAGAAAGTCGGCATTAGCTTAGCTATTACAAATTATGCGACACTGTTGTATCATGTAAAATCAAATAAAAGACAAATGTGTACCTAAATATTATTCATATCTAGAGAAAAGAAGTTATATGTTTGTGAGACAATATTAAGATATATGGCGAGTGTAACGATTTATTTAGAATAAACATTTAAAATATGGCATCATGTGACTGTGGCCATGGATGTGAGAATGTTTTTATTACTTCCTTGAATGTCCAATAACTGTTACAATCTTTAGAAAGTATTGTTAAAATTAGAACACTGATTAAGTAATCATTATCTTGCATGGCAATGCAGGTGTCTTATTACTGCAAATCAGAATGTTTTTCAATTATGTACACACACGCATCTATATCTACCCAACAAAACTTTTTCTCAGTTAACGTCTGTTGTACATATGCTATTATTGGGAGGGGTCTTTTCTATCAATAAACACAATCAAACCTCTCATTGACAAACCTGTTTTATATTCGACAGTAATTGATAGTAAATCAATTTTGAGAAGAGAAATCATTTATCATTTAATCACAACAAAGTTCTATTTACCCACAATCACTTGAAACTTCTCAGTAACGAACCTGTTTCAGGCTCACCCTACTCTACTCACAAGACAGTGGACTGTTCCATTATGCCCATAGGTGTTACCCTAATTAACCTTCTAGTTCAGTGTCTGTCAATTGGGTGTCTGTCAAATGGGTGTCTGTCAATTGGGAGATAACCATAGTACATGTATTTGATCATTTTCATAAAGCATTCCTGTTTTGCAATTATCACAACAACCTTCAAAAGGATATCTTCACATTTGGTTCTGTACTTTCTGATCAGCAAACTGAAAACAAAACAGATCAAGGTCAGTTATATTTGATAGAATTATCAATATATGCGACATGGAACTGCATGTAATCAAATGATGTCCACATTACGATTCCAAGATTTAACATGTTTAACATTTGTATGGATACATACGATTTCAGGATATAACTATTTCATATCTAACATCTGCCTTAAAATAGTAAATGAGTGACTTTAAACTACTTATACTACCACTGATTATGATAATGTGTGTGTGTGTGCGTGCGTGCGTGCGCGTGGGTGCAACATGCATTTGCTTGCGTATCTGAGTGTGTGTGGGTTAGTGAGTGTGTGCATGCATATACTTTTTTGTGTGTTTGTGCACGCATGTTTATCTGCAGGGCTCGATTTAAGAGATGTTAACCTACTTGCACCAGGTGCAACCTAAGATAAAAACCTAGTTGCACCAGCCAAATTCCAGTTGCACTGCTTTTATTCAATATGTAGATGCAGTTATTTAGATGTCTTACTCAGAAGTATACCCAATCAAAAGTTAGACTAAAAACTAGGTTGCACTTTGTAATATTGGGTTGCACCAGTGCAGGCATCCTCGATGATCTCCAGGGTATACGTTATGATAAATCTCCACTATACCCGGGATGCATCTACGGCTCGGCCCGATGATTTTATCATAACATTATACCCTGGAGATTATCCGGAAGCAGAGCAAGTAACAAAGCACCAAATGGAGCCCTGGTCTGTCTGGCTGTGTGTCAAGCTGCTTCAAGGTAACAACTCTCCTGTCGGTCACCTCCTGGATAAAGATCATGTTCATCAGTATGAGCACATGTGTGAAAAGTCTGGTATGTCATTGAAGTTGATGGCCTTATTTCCTGAGGGTGAGGTGAAATTGGGTTTTAGCGTCACCTCCTGGATACAGAAGGACATGTGATCATCAGACTGAAGTATGGCTAGCCCAAATACATGTGAAGCATGAATACCTGACACATTATACTGACTCGAGCCGACCAGTCCTTCACCCATTATATAGGGTCATCAAGTACCATATTTTAGACTCGAACAATCGGCGAGCCTCTAACTATCACCAATGATGTTCAAACGTTCAAATGGTGAGGACTGAACCCTAAAACTGACATGATTTTTAAAAAGTTTATCATCATAAGAACAAAAATGCATGCTCCCTCTGAGCAAATTATGATAGCATGGTCAAATGATACACTATTAAGGAAACAAACAAACCCAAAATGTTTTGAAAATATTTAATCCAACAGTTAACTGATGTATGGCTATAAACAGTATTGTTTTCAATTCTGCAGCTGTGAGAGAGTAATTTTGAAAATTAATAATAATACTCTTTTTTTCACTATTTGAGAAACACATTGCAGCTCCAAAGTTAAAAAATGACACGAGCAATCTCACGACATACGTGTTTATGGCAGTGTGAAAATTAACTGCTGGCCCACTGGCTGGCAGCTGTTGATTAGTTCGTTGTTATGTACATCTCAGTCAACCTCAATCTCAGTAATTTAACACTGGCTAGTAACTTTCAAGGACAGCTAGCTACTCTGTCCAGTAAAATTTTCAAATTATTTTGCATACTGGTTCATGGTGATGTTAAACGACTATAAGTGGCTGTATGAAGTCCTTGATTAAGTGTGACAAGAGAGTGAATCAATGCTCTTTCAGACCAGACATGTGTCTATCCTCTTGCCAGGTGCAGTATGGATGTTTATTTCACCGACATACGTTTTGGATCCAAAGAGACGATCCAGTGTCAAGGCAACAGTAACCAACTCCTGGATACTACTGAATGCTGTGACATTATGTCTTGGGCTGCTTATTTGGTCCACTGTATTATTTCTTTGATTGTGAACCTAACACAGCCTGTTTCAATATCCCTTATTGATTTTGTTTGTTTGTAGTTTAAAGCCACACTTGCCCTGATTATTTTTCAACTCTACCGGCCGGTTTTCTTGTTCATTTTTTACATAAGCAACATAATTAACATTGGAAAGTCAACTTGACACCGGTACAGCGAGATACACAAATTGCTTGCTTGACAAAAAAAACAACACTGGACTGGGATGTCTGGCAATGGGTTATTTCTACTCTTGGTAATTGGGTCTGGACCAGACAATCCAGTGATCAACATGGCGACATCATGAGCATCGTTCTACACAACTGGGATATAATGACCTGTGTCAACCAAGACAGCAAACCTGACCACTCAATCTCATTAGTCGCCTCTTACCACTAGCATGAGTTGCTGAACACCAATTCTAACACAG